CTTCTCTCCAGACACATCACATAACCATGGGCCAGCACAGGTACAGGCTCCTACTACCTACATTTGTATTTTTAAAATGGTTTGTGCGGCCTTGGTGTGTGGAGCCAAGGTGCCCCATGGCGGATGAGGCATGGACACACCATGCAGATGCTGCGGGCAATGGCCAAGGGGCCTTGAGCTAAGGAGAACGGTGGAAAAGTCACTCACACCATGCAGGAGGGACCCACATGTAGTTCTAAACTAAAGGGGAAGGGAGAAGAGAGGGGAAGTGGGGGAGAGAAAGACGGGGGGAGCGGAGTTGTGTGAGCCCTTGTGATAAGAGAGAGAGGAAGGATGAGAGAGAGAAAAACGGGAAAGATTTTTTTTTCTTAAAGGGGATTTTATGTAGGTTGATGTCAGTATGCTGGGTGGGTCAGGGGTGGGTCTGAATGCTAACACCTACCAGGAAGAGAGTTCTCCCTAGGCTAACCTGCCTCACTTTGTGGATGTTGGATTCCAGGGCAGTGAGAGAAGAGGTCTTTTCATTCAAAGCCACATACCCAGTGTCACTTTGTGATGGCATCCTGAGAAGACCAATGTACCAGAGCTGTGTCATGGTGCTTTGCAGAGACATGTCGATTTTAGCTCAGAACAAGTAGGAAGTGAGCTCCTCATCCCTAGGAAGAGGGAGAATCCAGTGATGGCTTCCATTTACACTGTGCCTATGGCATGGCCCTTGAGTGTGACTTTTTTTCCCTTGATTTTTATTTTATGTATAGGAATATTTGCCTGCTTGTATGCATGTCTATGGACCGCGTGTGTGGTGCCAGGGTGAGCCTTGCATCCCCTGGAGTGGCAGTTACAGACAGTTATGAACCTAATGTGGGTGTTGGGATTTGAACCCAGGTACTCTGCAAGAGCAGCAATGTTCTTAAACACTGATTCCCTCTCTAGCTCAGACATGACTTTTGACACTGAAAAGGTTAGTCATTAATTTCAGGGTGGTCCTTGGATGTAGTATGGTTCCTGGGTGTAAGTTGGTCCCTGGGTGTAGGGTGGTTCCTGGGGTTAGGGTGTTCCTGGATGTAGGGTGGCTCCTGGTTAGGAGCCACTTGTGGGTAGGGTTTTTTTTTTCCTTCTATTTTTTCTGGTTTTCATCTTAAAGTTCAGACATTTCTTTTAAATGAGAAGAGAAACCATCAGGCCCCACCTTAGGTAGGCACACCTGGTAAACAAGTGCCGGTCCTGGAAGTGCAGGGTGGGTATCCTAACACAGCTTGCCATGGGGATTGGATCTCATGGAATTAACAGGGTCCAGGAAGGGGAGGTGACCAAGGAGGGAGGACCTGCTATGCAGCAGGCACTGGCCTGCCTCTGTATTACTCTCAGAACAGCATGGGGACCCTGGACCCTGAAGGGATAGGTAATGTGAGAGTCTCTAGGTAACAGAATGTGGACAAGGTCTCCCTGAGGTGCAGGAACTTCCTGCTGAGACAGTTAGAAAAGGTGGGTTCCTGGGCTGGAACAGGGTGGGCTGCCTCCTCAGGGACAGCACCCCAGCATCAGCTGAGAGCAAGCCACCATGAGGGGGCTGAAGCTGTGCTATGGGCCACAGGAATGTGAAAAAGAGATTCAGCTGTATATGATAAAGCTATACATAGAAGGATCAAGGAATTCTTCTGGAGTAGAAGTCAAATGTCAAGGAATATTTGATGTTATTCAGCTTTTAATATGTCAACTGTTTCCTACTATGAATTTCTTGCACACTCTCAACTTCCAAGAATTTTACAGTATTTTTTACCTAGCATCCTAGGCCAATAGCTGTCTTCTGTCTTAATGTAAACACCCTTCTGGAGACACCACCTAGGGGACAGCTAGGTGCATAGCTTTCTTTCTTGTGCAAATGAATCTCAGGCTCCCATCTCTTTCATAACCCAAATGGCATTCCCAAGCTATTGACTCAGATCAAAAGTTTTTTTTGCATGCCAGGTGCAAAGTAGCTTTGAGACAGACTTCCCAGCTCTGAGCAGAGTTACCCTATCCTGTCAGTATATGGCGGCATAGGAAAACAGAGACAGTTTTATTTTTGTGACTTATAGACTTGTTTACCTAACTACCTGTAAGATTGTAGTTTGAGCACATTTATGATAGACTCGTAACTTTTCACCTAACCACTTATATGAATATATTTTGAGCACATAAATTCCCTTTCTGACTTATTCCAGGCCTTACCTGACCCCATCTCCTCTATCCACTCTCCTTTTGGGTTGCAAATGAAGCTGGCTATCATGGCTCTTACAGGGAGCTGGGAAGCTTTGCATAGTATTGTAAGTCAGGCTGCTGGCAGGGAGAGACTGGTTCCAGGAGAGCTAGGGGAAGGAACCATGATGGAAAAGTATGAGGATGAAGATGAGGATGGGGTAGAAAAGAGTTAGAGTTGTGAGAAGACAGGAAGAGAAGGGACAGAGAGGAGCTAAATATAAGAATAGAGTTGAAACTGTATAGATAGAATTTAATCTCAGAGGAATAAAGTAGAGAGCCCCATAAGAACCCAGTATACTTAGATTATTTTCCTGCAGAGTACCCCCACCATTAGTAGTGTCTCTTCTGGCCTCTGGGAAGGAAATTAAGAAGCCCTCAAAGTTTCCAAAAGAGCAGCCTGCCATCTCAACACTTCCTGCCTTCTGTTATCTCCATTCTTCTTTCCCTCCCTCCTTCAACTCCTTCCCCCTTCTCTCCCTCAACCCCTCCCCTCTTCTCTACCTCAGCTCCCTCTTCCTTCCCTCGCCCCCTCCTGGCTTCTGTTTTTCAGGGTGGGTATTGAAGAGGTGCCTCCCAAGAAAGCACCCCAAGACAAGTTCAGGAAGGGGGGCCGCTCTGACCCAGGACTCGGAAACTCCCTATGTTCCCCTTGGGGTTCTCCTCCTGTATCCTTGACTCCTCAGCAGACACTCAGCAGGGAGGCTCTGGCAGTCCTAGGCCATGAGCAGGAGCAGAGAACAAGACTGGTTACCTGGGGAGCCCATGGCAGCTGCTGGGTCTTGGTGTCACTCAGGGGTTCCTGACAGGTTTTTTTCTTTACAGCTCAACAGGCATCCAGGCTACAGGAAGAAAAACAAGTGTGGGACAGAATGGGGACAGGTGCTGTGACCAGGGATCTGGTGACCCACAGTTCTCTCAATGGTGGCTGCCAAGGACGAAAAGAACTTGATCCAAAGTTCTACTGTTTCCCTGGTCTTTGTCATTCCTACTTAAAGAAGTTGGTCGTGTGGCTCCAGCCTTGCTGCCTTCTCCACAGCCAAAGCTTCTGGCTCTTATTCCTCCCAAACCAAGGATCCATTGGGGACAATGAAGAAGGCATCAGCTGAGGACACAGCTGTGGAGAATCAATGGACTCTGCATATGGAAGGAAAGATGGAGAAGAATGTTCTGGGGACCACAGTATTAATGGTTGTCGTCAGGTGTCCTGTGTCCCGCCTGGTCTGTGGTCAGGCAAATCTCTCATCCACAGTCCCACAGCCTCTATAAAATAATCACACCGAGGATTATATTAATTATGAACTGTATGGCTATTAACTCAGGCTTATTACTGACTAGCTCTTACACTTAAATTAACCCATAATTCTTGTCTATGTTTAGCCATGTGGCTTGGTACCTTTTCTCAGTTCTGCCTTGTCAACTTGCTTCCTCTGGGTCTGGTGGTGACTCTTGACTCTCTTCCTGTTCCCGGAATTCTTCTCATGTGCTTACCCTACCTATACTTCCTGCCTGGCTATTGGCCAATCAGCGTTTTATTTATCAGCCAATCAGAGCAACACATATTCAGAGCATACAGAATGATATCCCACAGCAAATGGTATTTTGTATTAATGGTAATTTCTATTAATGGAAATTTCTTATGCTTACTGTCCTATTTCCTGTCTTATTGCTGGGAAGAGACACCATGGCCAAAGAAACTCTTATAAAAGAAAACATTTAATTGGGGCTTGTTTACTGTTTTAGAGCTTTAGTCCATTTATATTCATGTTGGGAGCATGGTGACACACAGGCAGACCTGATGTTTTTATAGCTGAGAATTCTACATCCAGATCCACAGGCAGCAGGAAGAGAGACACTGGCCTACCTTGAGCTTTTGAACCTTCAAGGTTTACCCCTACTGACACACTTCCTCCATCAAGGCAACACTCACTCCATCAACACCATACTTCCCGTTTACCCTCAAGTAGCGCCACAACCTAATGACCAGGCATCAAATATATGAGCCTACAGGGGCCATTCCTATTCCAAACCATGACACTTACTGAGCATGATGCACTGGGCTCCTTACTCATATACAATGAAGTCTTTACACATGCTCTGTTAGGTTGAGACTCTTGTGGCTCCATGTCAAGGAGGTCAACAGGCACGTATTTATCTAATGTGCACGTGTTTTCAGTGTTGATAGAGTCAGGACTTGAACTCGGGACATTCTACACTTGATCTTAGCCAAAAGGCCGAGAAGCGATGAACTCGGGACATTCTAATCCAGATCCCACTTCAGACAAATAAGCTTTACTATCTTAAAAACACAATGGCATTCCTACCTCTTTGTATTACCTATGTGCATCATTGTATGTGCATGCTATAAATGCTTTTTCTGCTTCCACAGCACTGCCTTGTATGGTGATATTTTATTTGTGCTGAAATGTGATTTTATTTGTATGTTAATAAATAAAAGTGCCTGGGGGTCAGAGTTAATAACAAGCCATTTAGCAGAAGTCTGGCAGTGGTAGCACACACCCTTAATCCCGATCACATGACAGGCAGATTTCTGTGTGTTCAAGGATATAGCCAGCATGGAGACACTTGCCTTTAATCTCAATACCAACCATAGAGACCTAGAGGTCTGTATAGACAGGCAGTGACGAGGAGGTCATGTGGTTGGATTTACAACCAGTGAGAAGGCAGAACAGAAAGTCAATAAGAAGACAGACACACAGGAAGTAGGTCTCTTTCTGAGGGGAAGGACGCCAGCGACAGCCAAGGGTAAGAAGGTAGTTTTGGTCTTAGCTCTTGGCTGCTGCTCTGACCTCTTGGGCTTTTAACTCTGCATTTGGCTCCGTGTTTCTTATGTAATAAGACCATTACATCTACAGCCTTGTGCCAAGTACTAGGTCCTTGTCTTAGTAAATTCACTGGGGTCCTTTGTGATTCCCAGGGACCACACCCTCCTTGCTTCTGGGATTTCCTTGTCCTATCAGGACCTGGAGTCCTACCTGGCCCTGGTCCTGCTGTGTGCTGCCTTTGACATCTGCTCTTCTCCCTGACTCCTGGACCTTGTGCTGTTCCTAATCATTATGTAAATGTAATGCAAAGAATGTTCTCATTGCCTGTTAGTGCCCGCATTTGAGATTATTTCCTTATGCTGTTTGTAGAAGTAGAAGAACTAGACTAAAGGGCGTTAACATCTAACACAGGCACCGTGTGAGGATGCTCATTCCTTCCTCTGACCAGTCCTCAGTAGTATTTGGGGTGGGGAAGACTTCATAAAGAGACACAATCTGCACTGAGATTGCCTGAAGCTGAGGAAGGAATGAAAACATGTTTAGCAGTGTGGGTCGGAGGCATCAGCTCCTCCTGGGACCTGACCAGAATGAGAGTGAACGACCTGTTCATATGGTAAGAGCTGAAGATAATGGTGGCTCACTCTCAGGACTGCACTCTGCCCTTGTAACTGATGACTCGGTGTTCTTGCCCAAACCTTGCAAACATGCACCTAGCCCAGGCTGGCCTCAGACTCACTATGTAGACTAGGAGAACCATGAACTCCTAATCTTAGGCCTGTCCCACAGAAGTGTTAGGATCCCAGGTTTGTGCCACCCATAAGCCTTCCAATATTCACATGAAATCAAAAGGAGATAGAGAGAGAATATTTAAAAAATCTTTGAGCAGGGCGGTGGTGGCATAGGCCTTTAATCCCAGCACTCGGAGACAGAGGCAGGCAGATCTTTGTGAGTTCAAGGCCAGCCTACTTTACAGAACAAGATCCAGGAAGGCGCAAAGCTACACAGAGAAATCTTGTCTCGAAAAACAGAAAAACAAAACAAAACAAACCCCCCCAAATACTTAATAGCCAAACATGGTCTGAGATGTGACAGGTGTTCTGAAGTCCCACCCCCCCAAAGTGAGACCGAGTGTCAGCTCCTCAGAGCCCAAATTCTTTGTGCTCTATAATGCTAACAGGGACTTGAGACATTAGCAGACAGGGATGGAGTCATTCATCTCATCATTGACAGGTTAAAAAAATCACATTAATACAGAGATGAATTTTAACTAATTTGCTCGCAAAAGAATTTAAACATAGAGATGATAAGCATTGATCCAGCTATGGGTACACATCCCATTGGGTACACATCAACACATTGTTGAGCTGTGGAAGGTTGTGGAGTTTTGTAGGGCAGTCAACAACAATCACCCAGGACTGTAATTCGCCCAGGTGGGGCCACAGCCACCCACATGTCCAGCAGGCAGACAGCAGAGTGAGTCCATGGCAACCTTGTGCAGGGGTGCGAGGTGCAGGTCAGAGTAGCTATAAGGCTCAGAGTGGGGGTAGGGTTGGGAGAAGTGACCCTCTGTATTAGTCAGGGTTCTCTAGAGTAACAGAATTTACAGAATAAATCTCTCTCTACATACAGAAAGGGGATTTATAGAATGACTCACAGGCTGTGGTTCAGCTAGTCCAACAATGGCTGCCTATGAATAGAAGGTTGAAGACTCCAGTAGCTGCTCAGTCCACAAGGCTGGATGTCTCAGCTGCTCTTCAGTACAGGCTGGAATCCTGAAGGAGGAGGATCTAATGCCAGGGAAGGAAGGGACTTGTTAGTCAGGCAAAAGCAAGCAGGCAAAGATCAAAAACTTCCTTCTTCTGTGTCCTTATATAGGCTTCCAGCAGGAGGCGTGGCCTAGATTAGAGTCAGGGCTTCCCTCCTGAAAAGATCTGTATTAAAGGCATATTTTCCCACCTCAAAGATGGGGATTAGAAGTGGGTCTTTACACTTCCAATTATACAAAAATCCTCTTATAGGTGTTCCCTATATATGGGTTTTAAGTTAATTCCAGATGTAATCAAGTTGACAACCAAGACTAGCCATCACACCACTCAACCAGAGTCTTAACAGACTCCAAGAGGTGCTCTGCCATCCAGACCCCGCCCCCCCAAAGAGTTAGCAAATAAACCCTATTGGAAACCTGTGGGACAAAGGTTGAATCACAGTTTCGTTGAGCTAAGTCTGAGTGGGAACTACGTGTGCACCTGTATTTATGTGCACTGTGTTGGCATGTTGTTTCAATTAGCTCAAGTAGAAAAAAACCAAATTATTTCCATCACATAATACCCTTGATGGTTCTGGAATAAAGGATGCAGAGCCTGACTTCTTCCCTCTGAGCATCGCCAGGATCAGAGACAAGCTCAGGACTCTTGGTACCCATATTCCCTTGGTGTCTGTGGTGTGTGTGCCAGATGTCTGCCCACAAAGGAGAGCAATGCCCTGCTGGAGATGAGCAGAACAGCCAATCCTAACTCTATTGATCAGGAGAAAAAGAGAGATTCTGAGTGGGCAAGCACTGTACACAGTGTCACACAGCTGATTCTGACTTTAAAGAGAAAATGTGATTTTAATAATTCCAAAGTTTCTAGACTATTCTTTGCTTGTATTGACAAATAGGTTGCCCTTACCTGGACTCTGCCCTTGGGTCTTTCAATTACACAAAGGTGCTGTTAACAGGATTATGCACCTTGCCCTCCCTGTCCCCACACTGGCTCTCTTTCCCACCCAGCACCCAGACTGCAGAGAGGATGGCTAAGGCCAGGGGTGTAGGCAGGACACCCACTAACTTAGTTCCTTCTAGTATGTGGAACAGGACACTCTTTTCTGGGCCTCAGTTTCCACTGTGGAACCTGCCATAGACACACACTCGGAGAGAGTCATGGTGCAGTCTCTGGGTTCCTTGTGCCTCACAAGTCCACATTTGCCACCATCTGTTCATGTGGGGACCTTAGGGACAACGCCAGGGTGGTCTTCACAAAAAGATGGGTGGACTCTGGGCTCTCTGCTCTCTCCATTCACATCCTTCAATTCCTCCATTACCCTGAGGACACCCAGAACAGCCATGTTCCCTCTGAGGTGCCCTGGGAAGGCATATATCAGGCGGCCTGAAATGACGTTGAACCTTTTAGTGATCCCATCTGAGGGGTGTCCCACAGTCTCTTCTGCTGATTTCTGAGGGAGAGAAAAAAGCAGCCAGATTCCAGCCAGGATGAAAGTTTAGTCAAAGGCTAATGAACCTGTGATCTGGACCAATGCCTAAATTACGTTTATAGACAGGGGCAATAGTCCTTTTTTAGAGTGGCTGTGGGCATGAGCAGTGATTTCCATACTTAGAGAAGTTCTTTCTGGCTGAGTTAGGTGGGACACAGTGGTCCTTAGCAGTGTGTCCAGTCTCCAGCTGGGCAACTGAGTCACAGCCAGAGGCAAGTGCAGGGCCAATGTTCCCAGCCTGAGAAGGGGAAGTGGAGTCACACCTGCTGAGCAGCTGATGATCCTGTGGACTCCCCAGACAAGCCACTCACCTGCTGCCACCCTCAGTCTTGCCTTCTCCACAGACCCACTCGGAGGAGCGACCTCACGCCCTTCTCATCTCATAGTGCTGGATGAATGTCTGTGGTCTCAGCCACCATTGACTGTGGGACCCTCTATAGATCATTTCCCAGCGCTGCTGGCCATGTCCCTCTTTCAAGTAGAATCCCCTTCCTATCTCCTCACCTGGGTTCTTGGGGGGCACAGAATACTACTCCAAGGTCAGTAACAAATATGGATATTGCAAATGAAAGTTTCCTGAAGGAATCCCAACTGAGTCTTCTAAGAGCCAAAATAGGTAGGTAGAATGTCAACAGCTGTGGAGAGCTTGGAATGTTTCAGATCAAGAGCAAAATGACAGTTTGTCTCTGGCTGTTTTTAGTCCCTTAAATATTGGTTCCTTGTCAGCCCTGTGTTGGATTTAACATCCTGTGACTAAGAGATAAAAACCATTTGGGATATATTAACTTAGCTGACCACTAACTTCCACAAACCCACAAGCTGAGAACATCAGCAGATGGAATCTGAGGACTGTAACCTGCTCTGATGTTCGACAAATGTGTTCATTTATGGCTTTCTTTTTTCTGTTTCTACAACAACTCCATGATTGGTTACCATGCTGAAAGATGGACTTTGGTATAACCTGACTCTGTGTTCCTGGGCCATGGTCCCTCCTATTAGGCTCCAGATCAACACTGTCTTAATCCCTTTGAGGTGAGAGTTAGATATTTGTGTTGACAATGGCAATGAGCAGCTGCCTCCCAACCCTAAGCCCAGGCTTTGGACTTTAAACCCATTCCTGTCCTTCTTTGTCCCAGCATCAGTTCAGCTCCTGCCCCAGTTGGAGGGGAGGGTTCAGTCACACTGTTCTTCCTGCTGCCAACATCTATGGGAAGAAAACACAGAAGGGAGAGGCAGGAGGAGAGGAGTGCCCCCCACCCCCAGCCTCCTGAGGAAGGTTCTCCCAGGAGGAGGGAACAGCACTGCACCTGGAGTCCTTGTTAATGCAGAGTTCAGGAGCATTTGTGCTTGGCTCCTGTCTGGCTGCACCAACCCTTAGAGGCCACACTGAGAATCAGGATACCTGAGGAATCTTCCAGGTTCTTAGGTCCCAGGACAAAGAACTGAAGCAAACACACAGTGAGGTAGTTACAGCAGAACAGTTTATTTAGGGGATGAAGACATGCCTGAGGACGGAGTGGACTGGGGATCCAGGGGAAGGCATTGCTCTAAACCACAGGGCTGGAGGCTCAGGACTTATTTACACAGCACACATCTTCTCTTGGGTCTGTGTTTGGCGGGTTCTTCTCTCCCATGCTTTGTTCTGGTATCTGAGGTGGGGAGGACTTTCCAGTCTTGGTGATAAGAGGTTTCTTCCATGTTCAGTGCAGAGACCACTCTCTCCAGTCCCTCTTTGGCACATCCTCTGGTCCTGGTCTCAGGCATCAGTTGGACTCATTGACCCACTCCTGTGCACACTGACCTGCCATGATCAGGCATAGGCCTGGCTCTCTATCCCATGGACTTGACTGGACCCATGTTCCCCTTCTAACAGTGTCTCCACTGTCCCCAGCTCTGTGCTGACCCCAGCTTGTCTTGGGGGACGGGGCCTGATCAGAGTGTCCTGTAGAATTTGACAAGCTTCCCCAACTTCACCTCCAGCTCTTCAGCCAGCTTCCTGAGAGCTTCAGCCGACTCTGACTGTGCCCCTTCCTGCAAATGCTTTGACTTTTTCACAAGGCTGTCAACATCTTTCAGGAG